TTTGCCTTTCCCACAATGACATAGAACTTGATGCAAGGGTTTGATGACTTCCAAACAAAAAGCCAGATGCCCATCAATTTGAAAATACAAAAACTGAGTCATTTACAATGTTACCACTAGGTGGTGCCACCATTTAGTGAAAACAATGTGGTTGCTGTTGGTGGACGCGGTAAACCTCTGCTGAGGGTTAGGGCTGCGCTGGTGTGAGTGAGTGAATGTGTGCATTCAGGAGCAGAGGTGCGAGAAGCTGTCTGTAGAGCAGCGCTGGTATTCCGGGCCACCTGTGCATGCAGGTGTGTGCATGAATCCGTGCACCGTGGTGTACCAAGGCTGGTGCACCTGCCCTCCTTCAAGCAGAGAAGGTGCAAGACACCTGCCCCTTGGGGCTCCAGGAAGCTTCAGGAACCATTCCTGCTCCAGGCGCTGCTGGGGAGAGGGCGTCTCCTCAGAAAGTCCCTGTGGCCCTCAGCCCATGCCCCCAGCTCCCCTCCTTTCCAGCTCCAGGCCTTAGGGAAGGCAGCCAGGCTCCTGGGGCCCTAGAAGTCGGCAGGAGGAATTCTTAGCTCCAGCATTGTTAAAAGTTCTAGTGATTTCTCCCAAAGGCCAAAGAAATCCTAAGAATGATTAGACTTGGGATGCACTGGGCCAGAGGCCATGGTAGGTAGTGCTCGGCTCTGACATGTGGTGGGGGTTTGAGGCCTCCCTGGGGACTTGAACTGGAGGGTCCCTGGGCCCCAGATGTAGGACTGGGCCTCTGAGGAGGCCCCTACTGAAGGTGAGCAAGAGCTTCAAGAATGGACCCATCCTGTCCCCGGCAGAAAGGACTGGCGTGGGAGAGTGCGGGCGCCTGTCCCCTTGGCTGGACTGTGGTGTACAAGCGGGGAACACGGGGAATAGGAGGAGAGCAGGGACCATCTGCCTGGGTTCCCTGGGTGGGAGAGCATTTACAGACAGTGACAGGAGGGGAGATGTCTGCTCCTTATGGCCAGTTGAGGCTGCGGGACGGGGCAGTGGGGGGCTATGGGCTGGCACCCAGGACCTGGGCTTCACAGTCCCTGTGGGAAAAGGACCTTTCTGGGTGCTGGAAGTATGTTGAAGGCTCCTGGAGCCCCCTGAGTCTGACCTGCACCCTGAGGATTTGGCAAGTGCAGGCTGGGGAACCCCAGCCTCCCAGATGATGACTCCCAAGGCGAGGCAGTTCAAGCCTACTGCAAAGTCACCACGGCAAGCACTCTAAGGAGCTAGGTGGTTCCAAAGCCCATGCACTTGACCTCTGGTCTCTGCACAAAGACCCAGAAGCCCATGGAGTGGTGGTGGGGTGCCTTGCTGACCTAGGCATTGGCAGGAATGGAGCCAACCTTGATCTTGCTCTCAAAAGCAGTTACTGGGAGGAGGAGGAGAGAGAGAGAGAGAGAGAGAGAGAGAACTTCCATCTGTTGCAACAGCCACAGCTGCACCAGCCAGGAGACTGGAGTCTTCTGCATGGATAGGAGCCCAAGCACTTGAGACATCTTCCACTGTTGCTTTCCCAGGCGCATTTGCAGAGAACTGATTGGAAATGGAGCAGCCAGGACTCAAACAGGAGCTCCTATGGGATGCTGTGTCACGTATGGCGACTTCACCTGCTGCACCACAGCACCAGCCCCAGGTCTTGATCTCTTCTCTCTGCTCCTTTGTCCACTACCAGGCTTCCTCAAAGTTAACTGCTCCTGGCGTGGCCCCAGGCCAGCAGCAACAGTCCAAACAGGCCTCGCCCACATTCCCCGGGCTGCTCTCCAGCCCACAAGGGCTGGAACCAGAGTTCATCGGCCCAGGGCTCTGCAGAGGCTGCCGAAGGACAACAGGAGCCAGGAGCCGCGAGGCTGGGAGAGGATGCCCAGCCTCCAGATACTAGCCTCCCTGGGAAGCATCAGCCTGCTGGGCTGCGTCACAGGCGTCGCAGTGGCCGTGGTTGTGATCATCCTGCTGCTGGCCACCTGCCTCTTCCCCAGAGGGCGGGACTGGGATGTGGAGAGAAGCCTCCGCTCTGGAACCCATAGCCGACGGGTCCAGCCTCGGCTCTTCCCAGGCCGGGGCCACCTGAGGACCTTCCACCAACACCATTCTGCGGGCCATGTGTCTCACACGCCCAGCGCTGGCTTCCATCATCACTACCGTGGCCAACACCACCACCAGGCTCACTGGGGCCGCCGCTGATGCCTACAGATGGCCACCCTGCCCTCCAGCACCAGAACGAAAGCCCCCAGGTGGCAGGGGGGAGAAACTGCATCTCCAGGTCCTGCGTGGAGGGTTTCCTTGGAGTGCCAGACCCTAGCAGAGACTAGTCCTGAGGTAGCCCTGAGGCTGGGGGTGGACAGGGAGGAGGGGAAGGGGGCAGGACTGGACACTCCACTTCATGACCGATTCCCAAGTGGGCCCTGGAGGTGGCCAGGGTGTGTGGTGAAGCCAGTGCAGAGATGGATGGCAATGTGATGGTACCTCTGGCCAGGTGAGGGGTACCCTCAGCACAGGGAAGTAGAAAGCTCCCCCACCCCCACTGGGAGCAGCTCTGCAGAAAGGGCTCCCGCCTACAGCCTGGGAACAGTGAGAGGCCCTGGTCTGGGAAGTGAGTGGATGGAGCTGGCACCTGGGGCTGCAGGTGAGTGGGGAGAGAGGCGTGCGGGGCCATCCGTACACAGAGCAAGGGTTGGGCGAGAGAGTTGCAGGCCTAGGTTCCTTCCAGCCTATGTCCAGGCCCTGGAAGCTGTGGAACCTCAGGGAGCCCTGCCCCATGAGGGCTGCAGGTGATGGTGGTGGGGTCGTCTGGGAGGTCTCATGGGCTGTTAATGGTAGGCTCCTGCCCTAGCCTGGCTGGCCTGTTCCCTAAGCAGAGGAGGTAGGAAGTTCAGCCTGTGCTTGCTCAGGAGCTGGGGAAGGAGCCAGGGGCAGGGGGGAGGGGGGAGGGTCTGGAGGAAGGCCCAAAGGGGGATGCCTGGTGACTCACGGGAACAGAATGTCCTGGCTCCTTTTTAAAATGTATTTTTAATTTCTGCACTGGGTTGAAGGGGAGGTTGAGGGAGGGGAGGCAAATTTCCATTATGGACACATTAGGTTTCTGGGACCATTGGGTACCTGTGTGTGCATATGTGTATGCCTATGTGCACACGTTCCTGCGTGTGCAGGTATGTATGTGTCTGTGTGTTGTTCATGCATGCCTGGTGCCCACACATGTTTGTACATGTGTATGCATTCCATTGTATGCACATGTGTTTGTGTCTGTGTCGTTCATGCATGCCTGGTGCACATGCATGTGTGTGGCTGCTTCTAACTCCACACTGGCCTTCACAGACTCCTCCCCTTCTCCACTCCCATACCTTCCCCTGGCGGGGGCCTCACCCCCACCCTGGCTGGACTCCTGACCATCTGTCCATCTTTCCACCTTCAGCTCTGCCCCTTTCGGGAGCACCTCTGCGCTGAGGGCAGGAGGCCTCCCCCAAATACCAGAGAAGAGAGAGGCTCTCTGGACCAGGCAGAAGACACAGGCTCCGCAGGTTATCCACACGAGGAGTCACGGAACAAAGAACCGAGCCTCAAGCAGCGTCCCTAGGACCCTCCGTGGCCACCATGCGCGCACTCGCTGATGATGGGAATTCAACCTGCAGTTCTGGCACTGTCCTTGAAGCTCAGACAGATAATCTGCCTGTCCCAGTGGCCCCCAGCTCGCTCCTTCATGGAGAAGGAGCCCAGATGCCAGCCTGCCCGTTCATCTTAGGAAAACAGAGGGAGGGTCTGACAGGCCACCCTCCAGCTCTGTGCAAGGGCAGCCTCCTGAGGCAAGTCCCTCAGGCCTTGGAGGCGTTGACACGGACCATGCTGGGCGACCTTGGGCCAGTCCTTGGCCCTGCCTGGGCCCTTGCACCCCGACTGCTCAGCGGTTGCATGGCGCCTCCAAAGGACAGTAGCCAGGCGTGCAAGTGGGGAGCTAGCCCCCCCGCCCCCCGCCCCAGGCGTTTCAGCTTCATCTTAAAGCAGCTGTGGCCTTGGAGCGGTCACTGCAGCCCACACAGGCCTGCTGGGAAGCTCCTGTGTTCTACATCTGTTTCTCAGAATACAGGCAAAGCAGGGCTCCTGGCAGAGCTCCTTTGTGGAAGTGGGGTGTGTATGCGGGTGTATGTGGGGGTTGCGGCTCCGACCTGCAGAAGGGCTTAAGCACCGAGAAGGAGGCCCTTTCTGGTCCACTTCACTCGGTGGCCTGAGCCTGGCTCATTTCCCGGACCCCCCGGCAGGGGGCAGGGCCGGAGAAGCTTGGGGTGTTACGAGAGGGGCGGGGTAAGGCCTGTCCCCCGAGGAGGAGGCAGCTGCGGCGGAGGGGCCTGGGGCCTGCCTCACAATTGGAGGAAAGGCTCCAGGAAGCGCTCAGACGACTCGGGAGCCAAGTCTCCAGCAGGACCCCCAGCCGGCCGGCCGCCCCGGAGCTGCCGGGGAGGGGGTGGCCGGGCCAGGGGGAGGCCGCAGCATCAGGTGCAACCCCCGGCCAGCGTGCGGGGAGCCCAGGGTGAGTCCTCCTGCGGAGCCGTGAGCCTGAGCAGAGAGGGTGGAGCGGGGCTGGCAGCCAGAGTGCTTCTAGGGGGAGCGCAGAGCAAAGGAGCAGTCAGCCACACAGCATGTCATCCAAGGCCCAGGCTACACTGCACTTGCCCAGCCATAAGCAGGAACAAGGCCAAAGGCGGCAGGCCCTCCTCTCCACTTCCTCTCCCCTCAAAGTCCCCAGTTAAGGCCCCTCCCACCTGTGTGGCCTGTGAGTGCTCCGGGCCCCCAGCTGTCCACTCGCCTTTCTCAGCACCTGCTTTGCTGTCCCCAGCACGGGCTGGAGACTGGGAGGCTGTGGACTCAAGGACTGGCTCAAGGTCCCTGCCGGGCAGGGGAGGATCCCAAGACAGGAGTGTCTCTTCTCTTGTCTGAGTGTCCTGTTGCTTCTGAAATGTGCAGGCACCACAGGTGGCCCCGTGCTGTCCAGCCTCGCTCTGAACCCACCCCTTTCCTGCGCTTGGTGTCCAGGGGATCTTGTACCCCATCTTCTGGTACCGCCCTGGCAGCAGCACCCGCGAGCCTGGTGGAAGATTCAAGAGGTTTGAGGTGGACTGCGCTCCCAGCAGCCCCGTTACTCCGATGGGTGGCTGAGGCGCCTACACACTCCGTGCTCCACGGTTGCTCAAGGGCAGCGAGTCAGTGGTCCTGTGGCCATGGAAACGGCAGTGATGGGGGTGGTGGCTGTGTTGTTCCTGGTGACCGTGGCCATCACTTGTGTTCTTTGCTGCTTCAGCTGTGACGCGAGAAGCCGGGACCCTCAGGAACGCCCCGGCCACAGCTTCACGGTGGCTACATTTCGCCGGGAAGCTTCCTTCTTCACAGGACCCAGTCGTCCAGCTCAGCCCATGCCCACTGCCCGGGACTTCTGGTCTTTCATGTAGTGCCTCATGGCACAGTGTTGGGACCTGGATGGGCAGCCAAGGGAGGGAGACAGCACTGACCCCTGACCTAGTAGCAGGATCTGTCGCCTGGAAGGGGTGGAGGGGTGAACAGCCAGCATGTGGGACGCGTGGTGGGACCGGCTTTGTGGATTGCTGCATGTAACACTTACTGGAACTGACTGGCAAGCCGTGTGCCAGGGAAAGGATTTGTATTGCCCCAGCAGATGCAGCACCCTCCAGTGGATGCAGGAAGGAGGCACCTCCCCCGATGGAACAGGATTGCACAGAATCCTTTTCCTCCTGGCCTGTGCGAGATAGCCCCGAAGTTCAGAAGCCACACAGCTGCTCTCTGGGAGCAAGTGGTCCAGTGGACACTTGAGAAAGTATGGCCTTTTATGGGTCTTTGCAAGTCGTGCTTGGGAAAACCACAAAAGGAAAAAGAGACACACGAGTCGCACAAAGTCCAAGATGTTTTATTCACAGGAAAGCCAGAAAGCTGACTTTTCAGCCAATTCTGGGCCAGTCTTCATTACCGCTCTCTAACAGGTCCCATGGGGAATGTGAGTGATTCTCGTTACTGAGGAAGGTCACAGAATCATGGTGAAAAGCTGATTCTAAAAGCATTGAAAGGTTATGTTCCATTGGAAGCTTGAAAACCGGCTCTTGTCTTCATCACAAATAAAAAGATATTTGGTTTCTATTCATAGGAAATCTGTTCTCTCTCAGCCCTCAGCAAAAGTGCCCTGGCAGGTATTTAATGAATTTGGATGAGGGAGTGGATGAGGTTGCCAGGTATGCACCAGGGAGCCACCGCTGGGAGGGCTGTCAGGAAGCAGTCAAGCCGCCCTTGGTGTCCCCACCTCCTTTCTGAGTGCCCTCTCCTCTCAGTCCCTGGCTTTGACCTTGGGCAAGGCAGCTCGCTGCAGCCCAGGAAGGCTCTGAAGTCTGTCCCGGGTGCCTCTTTGCACCCTGACCAGCCAGAGGTGGGAGAGCATCTCCAGACCTAGGGAGATACACCTGGGCCTGGAGCCACTGGTCGGGGAGACAGCCATCAAGGGGCCGGGCCTCGCTCTGCGGGGATGGGAAGTCCACGAAGCCCGGAGCTTCCATATGTGTTCATTTGCTCATGTGTCCATACATCTACTTACCCACCTACACACCCACATACCCACCCTTCTACCCATCCACCCTCCCATCCTCCCACACTCTTCTACCACTCCGTACCAATTTGCCTACCCATCCTCCCCCTCTTTCACTCCCATACCCCCACAATCCCTTCCCACTCTTTACCCACCCATCTGCTGACCCACCCTCCCACACTCATCCATCTGGCCATCCACCTACCCACCCTTCTACCACCATGCATCCATCCACACCCACATCCACTCTTCTGTCTACCCACCCTCCCACCCACCTGCCCACTCCCACACATTCCCATCTGCCCACCTACATGTCCACTCGCTCCCCTAGGCCTCCGTGTACTCACTGAGTTGTACTTCCTCGCGTTCCTGTGCATTCCTTCCTTTGTCCCATCACTTGCTCACTTCTCCAGCCATTCACACCTCTGTTCAGTGAACACGGATCCAAGACTGTCTCAGGTCCTGCCCAGGGAGTGTGGGCTCCAGTTGCTGTGGTCCCAGTTCTCAGTGAACTCTGGGTTAAGGCTGTGGATGACACAGTCTAGGTGTTTGTGGGTGGGAGAAATGACAGAAGCAAGGAATCCTGGGTGGGGGCACTGGACTTGAAGAAGTGAAGAGTGTCAGGTCCAGAATGAGGCCAGGTGGGGAGGAAGTGGCTCAAGGGGCCAGCTCCTGGGGGAAGCACTTCCTGCAGTGTATGGCCAGGAGGGCCCTGGGTGTTAGGCAGCTGCCCTGGGAACCTTCCGTGTGGGTCCCTGCTAGCACACACATTCATCTCTTACACACACGCTGCACGCCTGTTACATATACTGCTCACACTCATGTGACTCGCCTGCTTGGAGTTCCCATTGCATTAAGTGTCCTGTGCTGTGGATTTGCTGACCAGCATCCCCATTCCAATTTTTTTTTTTTTGCACCTGCAGTGACAAAGGCTGTGCCTTACCCCCAGGTGGGTCCTGCTTGTCCTTCACTTCTTGGGACTTCCCCTTAGCCTCACCCCAGCTAGGGCAAAGTTCAGAGAGGCCCCAGCCCCAGTGGGCATGGTGGAAAGTGCACACTTGCCTCTATACAAATTGGTCATCCTCAGTTTCCCTGGTTGAGCAGAGCACATGAAAACCTCATTCTGCATTATCTAGTGAAGTCTGAGATTATCAAGATTCCTGAACCTGCTCCCGGGAGGAGGTGGAGAAAGAGGCGTGCACACACACACACACACACACACACACACACACAACCTGTGTGTGTGCTGGTGTGTGTTCTTCACCACATACCCTGGCCTAGAAACCAGGGTGGTGTTTTCCCTGCAATCAAGGCATTCCAGGGCTTCCAGCAACATGTCCCAGACAAGCACTTTGCTTGAAGGAAACCACTTGTCCTGAGGAGTGGAATGGAATTGCTAAGCATTGCCAGGGACATAAAGGAAGACACAATGGAGATGGGGACTGACCATACCACCACAAGCTCATTCTATGTGTTTGCAGAGCAAACACTGGGGGAACAGCCCAGGAACACCCCCACACACCCGGAAAGGGCTGGCCTGGAAGTTCTTAGGTAGGCCTTAAAACCAAACACTAGGTAGGCTGGGATGTGAGGAAGTTAGGTTAAATTGGCCAGCCCTAACGGCTGCTGAACATGTGTTGGTGAGCAAAAGGCAGATCAGTGAATGTTGCTGCATGGTAAAAAGTTCTGTTATGGGGAGTCTGTGCTGTGGTATAAAAGCTAAGCCTCCGCCTGTGGTACCAGCATCCCCATGGGCGCTGGATGCTCCACTTCCCAGCCAGCTCCCTGCTCATGACCTGGGAAAGCAGTGAAGGATGGCTCAAGTCCTTAGATCCCTGCACCCACATGGGAGACAAGAAGAAGCCCCTGGGATCAGCTCAGCTCTGACTATTGTGACCATCTGGGGAGTAAACCAGCAGATGGAAGATCTTTCTCTTTGCCTCTCCTTCTCTCTGTAAATCTGACCTTCAAATAAATATTTTTAGAAGTCCTACTTTGGTTATGATATGCTTTTCTTCATAGGAGACAATGAGGAGGCTGCATACGAGGGGGGTAACTAGTGGTTGCCTGGGGCAGGAGGCTTAGGCCCTAACAGTAGGTTCACAGCCCAGGCCAGGCTGAGGGGCCTCTGAAGGCAGGGACCCCTTTCCAGCTGTGGAGCAACATCACAAGGCAGTGGTTGAGGCTGGACTTCCCTTCACTTCCTTCTGGCTTCCGGGCCTAGACCTTTGAGCAGCCACAGGAAGCCAACACTATGGTGGATCACCCAGGCCCTCTGTGACCTAAGTGGCAGTCTTTCAGCCCTTGGATGGGGTCTAGTCCCAGGCAAAGGTGTGCTAAAGCCTGGGAACCAAGTCAAGCCCATGCAATGAAGACTGCAGGTGGAATTCCATTGGTTGTTCAGTTGACCTTCAGTAGGAAAACGATGATTCTGGATGATGTGGGTGGGCCTGATGCAATCAGAAAATGCCTTAAATGGGGCAGGCAGAAGAAAAACAAGGCAAGAGTGATGTGATGTGAGAAAGACTCAAGACAGAGGGGCCACCCGTCCAGGAGTGTGGGTGGTTTCAGAAGTTGAAGACAAAGGTAAGGGCAGGCAACATTGTCTCTTCCAGTCCATCCCGTTAGTGATTGCTGAGTAGCAGAGACGAGGGCTCCTGAGGGGATGTAGACTGACAGCTAAACACCATTGCTGGGTTGGGGGATGGGAGAACTGGCCTGCCTCACAGGTTAGGTTGGGGAGACAGAAATTCTACCTCCCAGGGAAAATGGTGTGGCATTGCCCTGCCCTGTGCTGCAGGGCCAGCCATAGTGATACACAAGCATCTATAAAAATGCTCAGGGAGAAAAAAAAAGAGAAAGAGAGACAGAGAGAAAGAGACAGCACTCCCATGATGGATTCTTCAAATGCCAGGACTAGGCTAGGCTAATGCCAGAAGCCTAGAACTCAGTCTGGATCTCCTAGTTGAGCCATTACTGCCGCCTCCAAGGATTCGCATTAACAGGAAGCTAGAGCCAGGAGTTGGAGCAGGCATCAAACCCAGGTCCTTCGATATGGACCATGGGTGCCTTAACCAGTGTGCTCACTGCTAAGCTAAACACCTGTTCCTGCACTATTATTTTTATACTTGATCTTAGCCAAAAGGCTGAGAAGCAATTGTACTATTATTTTTAATGGCAAAATATTATATAGGTCCACGTTTCATGAGTAGGAAAATACATAAAGAAATTATGGTATATCTGCAAAGTGGAATAATCAGTTCCCTTCACAGAGAGGTATTGACTTGGGAATGACACGCTATAGAGGGAAAAAATTTACATAATTATTTTAATTAAAAACAATACATAAGGGGCTGGCATTGTAACCTAGCAGTGTAAATGGCTTTCCACAATACCCAGCATCCCATATGATTGCTCCACTTCCTTTTTTTTAAAGATTTATTTATTTATTTATTTTATTACAAAGTCAGATATACAGAGAGGAGGAGAGACGGAGGGGAAGATCTTCCGTCTGATGATTCACTCCCCAAGTGAGCCGCAACAGCCGGTGCTGTGCCGATCTGAAGCCAGGAACCAGGAACCTCTTCTGGGTCTCCCATGCAGGTGCAGGGTCCCAAGGCTTTGGGCCATCTTCAACTGCTTTCCCAGGCCACAAGCAGGGAGCTGGAAGAAAAGTGGAGCTGCTGGGATTAGAACCGGTGCCCATATGGGATCCTGGCACATTCAAGTTGAGGACTTTAGCCGTTAGGCCACGCCGTTGGGCCTGATTGCTCTACTTTCAATCCAGCTCCTTGCTAACACACCTGAGAAGGTAGCAGATGATGGGCCAAGTGCTTGGGTCTGTGCAACTCAGATGGAGCCCCAGGCTCCTGGCTTAGGCCTGGCCCAGTTAGTGAAAAATGGAACTAAAACACAACACAAGTTTTCCAGGAAGATCCCGCCTTCATGCACGTGTTTATGTGAATGCAGAAACAAGTCCAGAAGCCCAGGGGGCCTCAGTGGGCCATGCTTGGGGGCGGGGGAGACTTGCTGGCACTCTGCAGCCTTCTGCCCGTGGGCCTTATTTGAGCAAGCACGCATTGTGTTTTATGGCATGTCATCACGTCTTCAGACGCTGGTATGAAGGTTAAGGAAGGTAAACTTTGCTATGACCATTCTGGGATAAATGGCTGCACAGACACATCCCGGCCTGACAGCTGCGGGGGCCCCACTCCTCCAGCACACCCGGGCTGTGAGACCCACGTTGTGTCCTTCTGTTGGGGAGCTCACCCCCTGGGGTGGGGAGACAGTGGGGACGGCAAGGCAACATAGATCCCCAGGGGAAAACTGCATCATGCAGACTCTCCCAGCGCGTGACAGGTGGCAGAGCTCAAGTGGGGCTGGCGTCTCTGTCACACTTTATGGCTCTTCCAGACTGAACTCTAACTCCCCGGCTCCCCTGACTGAGGCCCCAGGCTGCCGCGTAAGTCACACTCTCCTTTTGATAGGGGTGAGGGGTGAAATGAGTCTGCTTT